CATGCCCAGCCAAGGCACATGTCCAGGTTGCCAGTTCAATTCCCAAATAGGGGATGTGTACAAGGCAGCCAATCAATTATTCTCTCTCATCATTAGTTTTTCTGTCTCTCCCTCTTCCTTCCTCTCTGAAACCAATAAAAATATATTTTAAAAATATTAATTAATTAAAGTTCAGACAATACATTAATAATGAAGAAAATAAAATCATTTATAATTCAATGGGTTTATATCCTTTTAGACTTTTGTATATGTACAATTTTTTTTAAATGGAATCATGAAATCATTAACAGCATACACACCACACACACACACACACACACACATACACAGGTAGGTAGGTAGGTGGGTAGGTAGGTAGGTAGATAAAAGCCTGAGACCGAATGACCAGTAGACTGGTCGCTATGATGCACACTGACCACCAGGGGGCAGATGCTCAATGCAGGAGCTGCCCCCTGGTGGTCAGTGTGCTCCCACAGCCAACCTCCCACGGTATCCCCCCCTCCAGCAGGCCCCGATCACTGGCCAGGTTGAGTGACCCCACCCATGCACGAATTCATGCACCAGGCCTCTAGTTTTAATATATTTTAGCAATTCTTACATACATACACACACATCTTATTTATTTATTTATTTATTTATTTTCAATCCTCACTTGAGGATATTTTTCCCATTGATCTTTAGGGAGAAAGTGAAAGGGAGAGAGGGAGGAAGGAGGACAGGAAGCAGAGATGGGAGGGAAGAGAGAGAGAGAGAGAGAGAGAGAGAGAGAAACAACCTCGCGCCCAGACTGGGGCCAGGAATCAAACCCACTACCCTTTGGTGCCCATGACACTCTAACCACTGAGCAACACAGGCCAGGGTTATTACTTTACTAAGAGAATGCAGGCAGATTTGTCAGTTCTTAAGAAATGGCTGATAAACAGGTTAAATCCAAGTATCATAGCCTAGTTGGATCCTTCCTTTCACTTCCTAGCTATGTAGTCTCAACTCTAGTCCTACCCTTCCCTCTGCCCAGTATCCCTCACATCACATCCTAGAACAGAAATTAACCTGAGGTCATTGGCTCTATCAAAAAAACCTTAATTATCCCTCCAACTCCTATAGCATTAGTGAGGTAAAGACTCCAGCCCTGGCTGGTTTGGCTCAGCGGATAGAGCGTCGGCCTGCGGACTAAAGGGTCCTGGGTCCGATTTCGGCCAAAGGCATGTACCGTGGTTGCAGGCACATACCCAGTAGGGCGTGTGCAGGAGGCATGTTTCTCTCTCATCGATGTTTCTAACTCTCTATCCCTCTCTGTAAAAAATCAATAAAATACATATTTAAAAAAGAAAAAAAGAATCCATAGAGGCATCAGCAGGTAGGACATCTAAATTAAGTTCAAATATCTTAGTCTCACCTGTTCCTCCCTATAGAAAGGTTGTGGAAAGAGCAATAGAAGTAAGTGGAGACAATCTGAAGTTGTTTTTTGCTGATTTCTGCTGTGACAACGATATGAACAGCCAAGTTTAAAGCTCTCCAGTTTGCTCCTTCTGTAGAACAATAGCCTGAGAAATCCTATGCAATTCTTTTAGAAAACTAGAAGCATTTTTGAGGGAAAGTCTGAAATGTAAAAATATAAGTTTACAATTCAGAAGAGTAGAAGGTTGCCATTTTTTAAAATGGTATTTAAAATTTTTTTCATATTATGCTCTGTAGAGATGTAGGGTTCTATGATGGTTTGTTCAGAAGTTCCTTAGGTATTTCAAGTTTATTTCAGAGAGGAAGGGAGAAGGATAGAGAGATAGAAACATCATTGGTTGGCTATCTCCTGCATGCCCCCTACTAGGGATCGAGCCTGCAACCTGGACATGTGCCCTGACTGGGAATCGAATTAGCGACCTCTTGGTTCATGGGTCGATGCTCAACCACTGAGCAATACCAGCTGGGTCACGTTTATTTTTAAAAAGTCGATTCTGAAATATCTAGGGACCATAGGTGTCAAGAAAGCCAAAGAAGTAGTACTCTAGGCCAACCAACTGGAAGATAGCCTCTATATCAAAGATGTACGGAGCAGAACCCCAAAGAAACCAGAATTGAGGGAAGTACCACTCAGAGCATTTGGAAAGCTAGGAGCCCCTCCTCAAAAAATCCTGCTGATTCCCACTTGCCCTCCCAGCCTTGGATGGGTCATGGTAGCTAGGAGAAGTGGAAGTTACAGGAGGAGGAACTATTTTTTAAAAATATATTTTTATCAATTTCAGAGAGGAAGGGCGAGGGAGAGATAGAAACATCAATGATGAGAGAGAATCACTGATGGGCTGCCTCCTGCACACCCCCCACTGGGGATCAAGCCCACAACCCAGGCATGTACCCTTGGCTGGAATCAAACTTGGGACCCTTCAGTCTGTAGGCTGATGCTTTATCCACTGAACAAAACTGGCTAGGGCAGGAGGAACTATTTTAGCAGTGTATTTTGCTTTGATCCAGCTTATCTATTAAGCTTCTATGTAAGATTTCAATTGGGGGTGGGGGGAGTTCTGCTTAAAAAAAAAAGCAAGTAAATTGACAAGGATTGAGATACACCATTTGGAGCTACTTTGCAATAGTTCGGGAAACAAAATCTTCCTTAGGTATTTCATTTTACTTGAATATTTTAAACAACAATAGTATGTAGGGACGCAATAGGGAGCCGATTACTGGGCACTCCCTTCCGAAAGCAAGGGAAGAATAATGTGTGAGTAGGTGGTATAGCAGGGGAATGGTGGCCCAGAGTGAGGTCAAAGCCTATGTTAGGTGAGGAAGAAATCTGCAAAGAAGAATGACTCATCTTTAACCTATGTTTACGAAGTTAAGTAAAAATACTGAGCTATGAGAAGAGGCAGGATGACTACAGAGCCTGCATTCTCCACCACTAATCTACGCTGCCTCAAAAGGAATTCACAGCCCTGGCCCGTGTGGCTCAATTGGTTGGGCACCATCCCATGCATAGAAAGGCTGCCTATCTCCTAGGGTGGTCAAAAAGGGAATTAAATTGGTTTAGACAAGTAAAGCTTTTGGGTTAACACATGGCAAATAGGAAGTACTCAAATATTAGCAATTATTATTAGAGGAATTGGAAGGGACCTTCCGGATTACTGACTGAAAGAACAGTGTAGGGCCTGTAGGCAGTAGAGTAAGTACTGGCCTTGAGTACCCGCATGGCTAACTGACCAGCCTGTATCAAGTCACTTAATCTGTTGGTTTGTTTTCAGTTAAATAGGAGTAATGAGCTAAATGCTCTCCATAATTTCTTTTGGCTTTCATATTTTGAGTTCACTTTTTGTGTTTTACTTTGCTTTTTTTTACTATTTTTTCTCTTTCCTGCGTTTGACCTGTTTTCTCAAGAGATTCGTAACTAGAATCCAAAAAAGAAGTAGCGCCTTCTAAGACAGTTATTCTAGAAACTGGATGGGAAGGAGGGAGTTGGGACCACTAGTTGGCATTTGAAAGTATCCCATCTTCGGATCTCTCCAGAACAGTGAGGCTCTGCTCACTCATTCAAGAAGATGAAGAAACTAAGACACAGAGAGGCTAAGTAACTTGCTCAAAATCACAGACCTATGAATGATGCTGATGAGATTCAAACCGTGTTTACAAACATTTTTTCTTCCCTCTTTAAATTATGAAATTCTTCTGAGTATTCTTGCACGTTCGCATACCCTTCGAATTTCTAGTGCCTGGCAGCGTGAACGCGACTAAAGGTTCCGACTTAGGTGATCTTACCCACATCAATGGCTCAATCACCGCCAAATACCAATTACCTTCAGATTTATATTTCCAACAAAAATCTCTTTTCGGCGTTCCAAACCCGTATTTCAAACTGCCTCCTGGGCATCAGGGTTGATTTCTCCCTTCCCCTCGCCAAAAAAAAAACACCACCAAACCTACCCAGTTGCCATAAGCCAGAAAACTCGGAGTTACACTGAATTCCTCTTTTTCCCTCCCTGAATCCAGTCCATCGAGTCCTACTGATTTCACCCCCTCTATCCGCCTTTAGGACCCGTCCAACTCTCCGTTTCCACCAACACCTCAGTCCTCATTCCCAACAGTGTGTCCACCCGTCCTCCATCTGTTCGCACTCTGGAGCCTCCCCCCACCGCACGCCCCGCTCCCCATCAAAAATAAACCACCACCACCAACAAAAACCTCACCGGTCTTCCAGCAAAAGCTACAAAGTCCTGCCCGGCCTGCCCTCGACCCGCCTCCAGCTTCGCCCCGCACCACGCTCCCCCGCACCCCGCCCCGCATTCCCTCCCTCCCGGCCACGCGGGCCTCTGTGCTTTTTATTCATTCTCCTCCCCTGGTCACGGCACCCGGACACGCCGTTCTCTCCGGGGAAGCGTCTGCCCTCCTCTCTTCACCCGCCTCAGGAGAGCCCTCCCTTCAGGCACCTTTTCCTGGGAGAAGCTTCCCGGCTTTTTGAGGCACTCGGAACACCGGGTGCCTCTCTCCTAGGTCGCACTATTTCACATTTCTCAGTGAGACACTTTAGCATCTGTTTTCCGCACCAGCCTCAAGACTCTGAGAGGTCAGGGGCCATGTTCGGCTCACAAGGTACCCTCCACGCTTTGCACAATAAATCCCAGTTGGACGGCAGGAGTCGGGCATTCCCTTCACCGCCGGCCCTCACAGGAGCACAGAGCAGGCCCTAGCGAAAGGCCGGCAGACAAACCGGTCTCCTCGGTCGGGACCCGAGTGGAGGCTGGGAGACCGGCCTTTCCTCCCTGGGGGCGCCTGGCACGGGAACGGACACAGCCGGCACTCGCTGAAGGCGGCCGTCGAGGGCCTCGGGCAGCCGCACAAAACCCCAAAGCGCTGCTCCCGCCGGGAGAGAGAACCCAGGCTACCGCTGCCCGAGCTGGGACTCTGGGCCCGCCCCTGCCCCTGCCCCTCGCACTCAAAGCTTCGGGCGAGAAGGGCCAGGCTCACACCGCACAACCGAGGCACCGCCTCCAGATTCCGCAGCCGCCGCCCCCGACCTCCCTCACACTTACTCGGCGTCCGCTCCGGCCTCCGCGCCGCTGCATTGCGCGAAACGCCAAAACCCAGCCAGCGCGCTCCCACCCACAAGACACAGCGTGCCGAGGCGGGGCGCCAGCTCCACCCGCCAATCCTGGAATCGGACTCCCGTGACGTCAGAAGGATCTGACCAATAAGAGGAGCTCATCCTCGGGCTCTGTGGCGAGTATTGGAAGCCGATTGGCCTCTCCAAGCCGGATGTGCTAGGGAAGGACTAAGTCGGAACCAGTCGCGCGGTGGCTGAGGGTGTCGGCGCGGTCTGTCCGTGGCGGTGCAGAGGAGAGCGGCTACCGCCATGATTGAACAACAGAAGCGCAAGGGTCCGGAGTTGCCGCTGGTTCCAGTCAAGAGGCAGCGGCATGAGCTCATGTTGGGAGCGGCGGGGGCGGGGGCTGGAGGGGGGGAGAGTCAAGAGGCAGCGGCATGAGCTCATGTTGGGAGCGGCGGGGTCGGGCCCTGGAGCGGGACAGCACCCCCCGGCGCCGGGAGCTCTGCTGCAAGCGGTGAGTGAAGGAGCAGGCGGCCTTCGGCCCGCAGCTCATCTGCCTCCTGTGAGAGCTACACCGGGTGGTCCCGCATCGGCCCTTCTCGCCTACTGCGGGGCGGCACGAAAATCTCTATCTGCTGTTAAGGCAGGAAAACACAGTAAAAGCGGCCGACTTCTGCGGATACTTCATAAAGTTTCCCTGTTTGACAGCCGTTTTCAGCGTCTCGATCTCCCTGTGAAATGGCGTGAGAATTAAAGTTAAGGATCCTTATTTTGACCTCAAAATGAAGACCGAGGTTTTCGTATCCTAAATCTTAAGGGATTCAGCATAAACATTCAGAAAAGTTGCAAGAGTGGAAGGATGGAGAATGAATGAATGAATGAATGAAGGAAGGAAGGAAGGAAGGAAGGAGTGAAAGATGAGATGTGGCTCACTTTGGCCAAGTTGTTTTTCCCTTTATTTCTCTACACCATTAACAACCCAAGAATAGTTAACATTCATTGAGCCCTTGTACTGACTTGTTTTATTTTAAGTGAAAACTCCATTAGTCTTGGTAACAGCCTAAGAGTTAGGGACTATTATTCCATTTTGTAGATGGGAAGACAAACTCTTACCTGATAGTGATAGAAACATCTTAAACCCAGACCCTATGTTTTGGGGTGTTTTTTTTTACATTTCTTGTGAGATAGAAGTAGTGATCATACCTCTCCTTCTATTAGCCTCAGATAAAGAAGCACAAGTCCTCTCAACTCCTCAAGCAGCGGGTTAGCCAATCCGGCTGGCACCGTTTCAAAATAGACCTACATACTGCTACCACTTGTGCCACCTCCATCCCTAGCTCCTGATCTGAGCTATTATTATCTCACCTGGCATGGCAGTAGGGTCCTAACTGGTATTCCTGTTTCTGCTCCTGGGCCGTCAGTCTATTCTCAAACCAGCAGCCAGAGGACTCCTTCTGAAAGTCAGATTCTGTTACCCTTTGCTGAAAACTTTCGGTGGCTTTCCACTTCACTCACTATAAAACCAAAATCCTTACAACCTTTTGCCCTTTTTGCCTGTTTATCTCTCTGATCTACCAATTTTCCATGGCTCACACTTGCTCCAGTCACACTGGTTTCCATGCTCCTGCCTGAAAGTGTCCTCTTCCAAATGTTCATCTGGCTTATATACTCAGCTCCTCCAGGTCTTTCCTCAAATACCACTTTCTTAGTGCGGGCTTTCCTGGTCCCCTTTAAATTGCAATGCCCAGTACTTATTAACCCACATTGCTGTGTTTTTCTTCAAAGCACCTACAACCATCTATATATTTTACTTGTTTTCTCTCTATTGTGCTTGACCCACGTCCTGAGTAGTTCAGGGTTTGGGCTCTGGAGAAGGGGCCGCACGCAAATGACAGAGATGAGACAAGAAATAATAATTTGGAAATTGGGCGGGTGCACGGTGCATAGCTCTGACCTTTGCCAGGGCTCAGGGGTCACTAGCATTCCGGGCTCCTTGTCCACACCTCTCTGCTAGTGAAGACAATGGGCGGCTTCCCACCCTCTATCCCTCCTCTTTCTGCTTCTCACTCAAAAGCAAACTCCATTTATTTTCCTAATGCCTACAACAGTGCCTGGCACATAGTATTTTTTTTAAATAAATGAGTAAGCTGGAAACTACTGAAGAGATTTGGGGATTATTAATAATGTACTTGTTCATCTACCTAACAAACATGAATATCAGCCCAGGTTCCAGCATATTACCCAAGCCTAGATTTAATGTCAAGATCATAATCAAACGTCCTTTCCCGATGTGGAGAGAGCAGAGTGCCTGAAGCGTGACTCCTCTGTGATTAACACATCCAACAGCAATGTGGGCTTACTCCTCACAGGTGGCAGGATACTATGACCTTCCTGTGACATTATGCCCTCTACCTGCAGACGCACTCGAGGGTCTCGGCCAGCGCGTCGCCCTGCAGCACGTACATCTCCTTCTTCAGCCCCTCGGAGCTGGCAGGGCCTGAGACCCTGCCCCCGTGGACACTGAGCGACTCCGACTCCCGAGTCTCTCCCATGGCGAGTCCCAGTGCAGACTTCGCCGCCCACGGAGAGTGTCTGGGGGACAGGCACCTTCGGACGCTGCAGATCAGCTACGAAGCAGTAAGTGAGGGGCGGCGCCGGCACGGGGAGCCGCCGTGTCAGAGCAGGGTTCTTGGAGAACACCTGAGCCGCTGGCGTCCTCAGGAGCCCGGGTTTGGCTCCAGGACAGGACCCTCTGCACAGCAGCCTGCTCCCTCGTCTCCGCGGAGCGCGCTCCCGGCTGCCGGTGCCACGGGAACAGCGGCCGTGCAGGGCAGTCGGGTGCGGCTGTGCAGGAAGGGACCAAGCAGAGTCGGGATCTTTGGGGCTGCCCACAGGGGTCGGCTTCAGCGTCTTGCCCAGTGTCCTGAGTAGAGGAAAGTCTTAGTCTAAAGCAGCCTGCTCCCGATGTGAAGAGAGCAGAGTGCCTGAAGCGTGACTCCTCTGTGATTAACACATCCAACAGCAACGTGGGCTTACTCCTCACAGGTGGCAGGATACTATGACCTTCCTGTGACATTATGCCCTCTACATGGGAAAAACAAAAAGGGCCTTTCCCCAATAATCTGTACCCTGAGCTGTTGCTCAGTTCCATCATTCACTCATTCATTAAATGAGCTAGAGACTGGGAAAAGAATGTTGAATGACACAGGCATGATCTCTGCATTCACAGAGCTTCTTTTCTGGTGAGGAAAAAGGCAAAATATGTAAACCAATACACCAGGAGGGAATTCCAGGTGATGACCAGTGCAGTGAGGGGATACTGTAGGGTTAGTGGAATACAGAGGGGAGGTCAGGCGCTGCTTGAGTTCGAATGATCAAGGAAAGACTTTCTAAACGGGAAACATTTGAAAAGAGCCAAACAGGGAAATCTAGGGGAAGGGGATTCCTGTCAGGGGCAACAAGGGTCAAGATTCCGAGGTAGAAATGAGTTTAACATGTCTGAGCAATTAGAAGTTGGCCATGAGACGGGAGCAGGAGGAGGGGTAGGAAAGTTGGTAAAGCAGGCAGACACTGGTAACCTCAGCAGGATAGCATCAACTGGAGGCATAA